CACTAAACGGTTCCCCCAGCACAGCTGAGCAGAGTCCAAACACTCCCCTCAGCGAGCCAGTATAAACGCCTTCTCTCACAGTGGGCAGAGAAGATGAATGGATGTTTCTGGGACACGAAGAAAGGGCTAAAATGCTTACCTGAGTGCAGATTTGTGTAGAATTAGATTTGCTTTTGCCTCTTGCATTTCTTTTGTCACTTAGATTCAGTTATCTAACTCATTTGAGACTTCAATTGTCGTTCTGATTTATTTGTTCTTTACTTATTCTTTTCCATCCTTTGTTTGGTTTGAAGTTGCTTTCATAAGACCCTTGGGGCTTGCTTTTTCATCTCAACTGGAAACAAAAAGCATTAACTTGTTTCTCACTTTGTGGTAAACAGCAGCATGCGTTCACCGATTTATCTCATCTATCTGCAAACAAAGAAATGTTGAGAGGGTACGTGTATTATAGGCCAGCATTTTGGAACAGATTTCAATGCTGAATGCAGCGGCTGCAGCAGCCTGCCTGCACAAAACCAGCAGGGTAATAAAAGTTTGCTTTGGGCCAGGGTCAGAGCACTGATTGATGGATTTACTATTTGTTATTATAATTACCCACAAGCTGGGAGGTTCATTTGTAAGGCATAAACATCTAATATGGCTTCAGCCGAGGTTCAGATATTGTTTTTAATCTTTTGTTTTCAGTAACATAAAAAAGTCTTTGATGTTGTGCTTGGACGACACTGTTTTGGGGTGTAAGGCTTTTAGATGTCTGCCTGATTTATCGTTCCTCGATTTAGTGCTGAATATTGTTGATGAATAATCTGAAGAAAACGTCGACACACGGCTTATGTAAAACACGATACAGTACTGAAACTAGATGCATATTGCGCATTTGCAGCTTGTGGCATCTATACATGCAGTCATACATGCAGTACTGCTTCTCTGAGTGTGGGTCACAGTTGAAGCAGAGCTGTGCGGTCCTTGCTGCCGCCTCCCTCCCTTCTCCAGGAATACAGAGGCACTCCCAGGCAGGCCACACGGGTCTGTGCAGAGGTCTTCTCTCAGGTGGACGTTTCTAAGACACCTCACCCTGGAGCCATCCTGTCCATGCATAAAATCTGCAGCTGTGCTCGGAGCTCAACCTGTCTGACTTAGCATTTAACCCCACCTCTAAACACAAACCCAGACGCACTGTTGAGGATTGTCGTGTCTGCCTCTTGTTTACAGGGTGAGCTTAGATTGATAAGCTGCAACACAACAGACTGGTACAGCAGTCCACTTGTCAGCCACCTCCTCCACTCTGAACTGCCCCCTGAGGTGCTTTAACTCCACCATATGCAACATTTAATCCCCAACTCAAAGCAGCTTTCAAATTTAGAATTGTTCAGCTTTCATCCAAACCTCATGGTGAAAGGTAAGCTAGAGGTCAGCAGCCCACATCATCTGCAAAAAACTGATCTTGTAACCACGAAGGTGGACAAAGCTCTTTCCGTGGTTAAGTTCTGTCCGTAAAGGTTACTTCCTTTTGGATGCAGTATTTATTTCAGCCGTTACAGCCATTCGCCCTCTAACGACCCTTAATAGCTGCACCACGTCCATCCATCTAGCAGCTGACAAAGACAACATCAACCGTTTTATCTTTGTGATGGTTCTAAAAAAGCGAATATACAAAAGTCAGTAAGGTTCACAGTCTGAACCGTGCTGGTATTTTCATTCCAGACTAAAGCTGTGAAGCTGTGCATCTAAGGTAGGCCATGACTAATGCAGACTTTTCGTCTGCCTGGGCCGACTTTCAAATTTGTTACATCAGAAGCTTAAATTCGCTTTTGTCAGTGTGTTTGAGGCAGTTTCCCATTTAAAGAGCACCGCAGGTATGATTTGGGGCTGCTTACACTGCTTACCTCTCGCTTTGAAATATATTAAAAATATATTTTACACACACGAGGTCCTTCACTGCTTTCAGACATTCTGATGTACTTTTTATGTTTCAGCCATTTAAATCTCCCAAAAAATGATATGCAGCGTTAAAAGTAATTTATGTCATCTGCAAGAATTGGTGGAGGCTATAAAAAAATGATGCAGTGGTTCATTTAGCCAGCGGTTAACATCTTTACTGCTGTACATCCGTTTCTCTCTGCACAAGACTTCTGACGACACGAGTGTCACGTCGGGACACGGCTGTGCTGCAGCGCTCAGCCAGTGAATGATATTCACCGTCACGTCCTTTCATGTGGACTGTGTAGGGATGGTGCACTGGTAATTTGTGCGCAGCAGTTAAATGGGAGAGGAGCCGTATTTCACATTTATCAAGTGGCTGTTTACTGCAGCAGCTAGCACGCTGGCTAGCTGTCGCTAATCATATCCTGGCCCTCAGGCTGCAGTCTAATCACCTCTTTAACTCCCTCGCTCTCATCCTTCCGCAGTCACTCTTGCTCTCTCCGTCACTTCATCTCTCCCTCCTTGTTCAGGATGCTTTTTTTTCTTACTTATTCTTTGTCTTCTCTCTTTATATCTTGCCTTTTTGATCACTCTCTGTCATATGTCAGAGCACAGAGGCTTCTGAAACGTATGATCCGTCTCTGTTCTCTTTTTCCCTCCTTCTGCACTCTGTTTGGTTTCGCTGCACTGACACCACATGTTTCATATTGCATCCATCCCCTGGTTGCTGCCTTCTGTCTTCCTCCATTTTTTGGGGGGAGCGATTGCCCTTTTTGTCTCCCTTGTTTGAAGCACTTTCTGGCAGGGAGTCTCAGTTAGTGGGTCCAGGCTTCAGTCGTTCTCGTTGCCTCTCAGGGTTTATAACTCCTGGATTTTTAGAAAAGTGGAGATTTGGGCAGGGTAGAGCGTCCTTAGAGGTCAAATTTGCACAGCTGCCTTCATAGTCGGAGAGATCTGAGAAGAAGGAGGGAATAATCAATTCAAAATGAGAAACGGCAACAGCTGGGGACTGCCAAATGTCCCGGTGCCTGACACTGAGGAAGACGGCAGATTGAAGGTGACAGACCGAAGCACTTTTAGATGGAGCTAGAGTAGAAAAGGGGCTGCAGCAGGAAGAGGGCTAAGTAAGGAAAGCAAGTAAAGGCTCACAATCTAGGGTGAGTTTGAATAAGAAAACGAGTTCATTCTAACACAAAGAGACACAACAGGCTGGTGGTGCCTCCAAACAAACTGTCGTCAGCAAGAAACTCTTGTGAAAATGACAGAAGGAGGAGAAAGTTCAAAGAACAACAAACAAGCTTCGGAGAAAATCAGCAAATTGTCACATTCGCTGCAAAGACGATGCAGAAGAAAAGAATAATGACCCGTGAACAAAAACACCTTGACAACAGGAAATGTTTGTTCATTTGTATTCATGATAACAGCAACAGTTCTCGGCAGTGGAGCTCCGGTGGATGCGGAGAGCCAGCTGTTTGTTGCGTGTGTGTGTTGTGCGTTGATTAATTGTGTACATTAGCTTTCACCAGAGGTCCGTTTCCCTCTGCCAGCCAAAAAAACCTATAACTGCAGGAGAGGTAAATGACCGGAGAGGGTAGCATGAAGCTAATGAGAGGAGCACTTAGCTCTTCTTGTAATGAACATGGAATTGGATTATAAGATCTACATCAGAGTGAGGTGTACAGTATGAGTTTGTGGGTGTTTTGTACGTGTGTTAATCTTCTCACTGTGTGCGATTTGTGTCTGTTGTTTAAAACTTTGCTTCCAAGCTGAATTTTCTCGTTTTATTTGTCTCTTCCAGGCGTGTCCTTCAACAGCGTTTACACTCAGATCTGGAGAGTGCTGCTTCATCTGGCTGCAGACCCTTTTCCTGAAGTGTCAGATCTGGCCATGAAGGTCCTCAATAGCATAGCATACAAGGTGCGTTATGTTCGGGTCTTTAAAGCTTTTATCACAAACTGTGTATTAAAGACTGACTTTCATTTGGCTCAGTCACAGCAGAGCAAGAACAGGATAACAACCTTCTCTTGAGTAGGAAGTAAAACCTGACCTGTGGTTTCCCGGCAACTGCAATGAATTCGTTTATGTTTGGGAACAGATTGCAAGTATTTGTGGGAACCGGGCTACTGCTTTTGATCACAAGATGATTACACAAGTTGTCTAATGGAACCCAGCCTGTCTCCAAACAAGTGCAGATGGCTCAGACTGACTTCATTCACTGGTCGATAAAGGTTTGCAAACAACAGCAGACAGGTTGCCGACACCTTACAGCCAGTTGGACTGGGATGCGACTCTGCAATATACGGTCCTTAACAAAATTATTAGACCAAGCAGCAAGAAAATAAAAATATTTCAAAAATCCAACCAAAAGAAGTTTGACTGGATTTACTGATTTGAATTTTATTATTTTCATAGCCGAGTTTGAGGCAGCTGCTCCCTGGCGTGGGGTTTGGGAACGTCGTTGGTCGCACTGTCTGAGAAGTCAGAAAAGAATTGAGTGTAACGTTCAGCTAAAACTAATTTTGTGCTTTGACTAACTCCATCTTCATGCTGGTTTATCGCCGTTTTGATGCACCAGACCTGCTTTAAAAATGGCAACAGACTGATTTCATGTTCATTTTACGTGGTCACACTTATTTTGGTCTTGCTGCATTCAGTTCCCAAGCACTGTGTTTTTTTCCCCAGTGTGACTGTAGCATAGTTGATTGTGGAGTCCCTTTCTGAAGCCTCAGTGTTAGCATTTTGATGGTTGCTATGTTGTAATTAGCAGTAAGCTAATGCTTGCAAGCTTGGATAACGTATTCATCCATAGATTGAATACAAACATCGACAAAGACACCTGTGAATTGGCGCTGGGCATTATTAGAGGTGTGTGTGCTTTGCCTGCACAGGTAGCTGTACAACTAATCGAGTCGCTGAACTCTGTGTTTGTGGTTTCGGTGCTTTTTGGAGAATTTTTAATGAATTTGTCCAATAAATAATAATGTGCCTTAAATTTAATGTAAAATACCCATAGAATAAGTATTGAGGCTGTTAAAAATCTAATTAAAGCAGTAATGTTGGGCCTTTTTTATCATGATCTAAATGGATCGACTTCCTTTTAGAGCCGCCCTCATGTGGCCATTAGAGGAACTGCATCTGCTTCATTTTTCAGCCCTTCAGGTTGCTGATTGTTTTTCAAAAAGGCATCTGTGTATCACTGACAAGCATGACAAT